AAATTTTGGATCAGAATAAATGAATCTTTCTATCTCCAAAACTGAACGGTGGCTCATGACCCTCATCACCCCCATTAAACCTGCAAATTGGTTGTAGGCCTTTTTACTATTCTCCAAACATCATAACTTTTCAGACAGAGTTTCGTAGCCTCGGAGAGAACACTTCTTATAAGAACCTACATTTTAATTTCTCCTCCACTGATTTGATAGTGGGAAGTTGAAATTGGGGTTATGCTGTGGTCACATATATGGGCCCAGCATGAATTGTCTTTTGAAGATTTTTTTTTTCTCCTCCACCTCCGCACGCAGTCTGTCTGTGCCCTATAGTGATGAACGAGTATAATGGGACAAATAGAGCTTTCGAGAGTCGAGAACATGAAAGTGGTGCGTGGGGGATGACTCTCCTGGGGGGGGTCACTATTTCCAACTTAAATGCAAAACAATGTAAGTTTAAGGTGAATCCCTGTGAATAGCTTAATGTTATAAAACGCATCTATATTTCCCCCCGTTTTTTTTCCCTCCTCTCAGAATGACCTGGATGTGGATTAATTACAGTAACACAGGCTTTACACCCTGCTGGTGCGGTGGCGGATAAAGAATGGTGGAAATGCGTGGCCGATGACAGGGCGTTGGAATGCTGGATTGCCCCGTGCGGCATAGGCCTCTATTGGCTTTACAGACGACGTGTTTGCAAGGGCCTGGCTCAGCGTACAACTCCCATGCCTTGAATTGACAAAGCGCTCTCACTTAGATCAAGATAGCCGTCATGTTTTATGGGCTGCATAGGATCTGCTCCAGTTTTGTCTCTCTCAGGCTGCCTCTTTACGTATAGAAATGACAACATGCCTCTTTGGGTTTTCCACTGGAGCAGTTTGAAATGTGACAGCGCGCAGAGACGACACATGTGACACATCCAGACCGCGGCGTGAAATATGCACTTATGAGACGCACAGCTTATTGGTGCGGCATCCGTATCAGACACTTGAGCGCTGCCAAGGAGGTGTCAACGGCAACTGTCGCTGCGGGGCGTCCTGCCAGCTCTGAGTCTGTCCGTGAATGGTCCTTTTGTCCAAGGTGGCACGGGAGACACTCGAGAGGGCCACGATTAACACAAAGTAAAATTAGAACCTGCGTCTGTTGTGAACGAAAAATCTGTTGTTTTGTCATGTGCTGTGTTTGTGGAACGAAATTATTACAGACGAGGTAATTGGTGGGAGATAAGTATGGGTCATTCACATAAAAGGTCAGTATACCAAGGGCCTGGGGAGAGTCTGGGACCATTTGGGTTAACTAGGTGGGAGGGAGCAAGACCAGGGAAGCCATCTTGGCTCAAAGTGAGCAGTGGATCAATGCACTAAAAGGCAGAGGCAAAGGTCAGGCAGCTCAGTGGCAGCTCAGGGACACTGTGACAGCCACCAGGAGAAAGGAAAGACCAACACAAACACTAACATTAATACTGAAACATATCTAAAAAATAAAAACATCTTAACTACATATCCCAAAGCCAGTGAAAGGTTTTCATGTTCTATTACTTAACATACCACCACTCATTATGTGAAAGCATGTTTCATCTTGGTGCAATAAATGTTCATTTTCAAAAACTGACAAACTGAAATTGCAAAGACAAATTTGAAACTCAATGTAAGAAGCGGTCAATAAAAAAGCATGTATATCTAACAACAATGTGAAATGATGAAATGCCAACAAGGCCTTACCTGGAGAGTAACATGGCTGCATTCACTTAACAATAGCATCAAAGCTGCTCCCCTTATGATCGTGGCCATAATCGCCTGTATGGGATTCATGGCTGGGACATTGGGAGACATCAATAGAATAGTAGACAATCTTCCAAATATTCATTGTACAGCCCTGTCATTTTTACTGACAGTCCAGTACAATATGGAATTTATTTTTTAACATGAGAAATATTTTCAGTTTTCCTAAAGAAAACATTACACAGACAAAAAATCTGTCGCACAAACTTCTCCTTCCCCCTCCTCCAGGTATCCTCTGTTTTCCTTGGCATCAGTGGAGTCCAAGCAGACAAGAAAAATGACCAGTACGCCGTCCTCAGTCCCCAGAGAAGAGAGAGGTACACGCAAGGATGTGGCTATTACTTATCATCATCAAAAAGTGCTTGTTTGGTGATAATAAGGGCCCGGGATAGAAATCTCAGCTAAAGGGAGGGAGGGGAACTACCTGAACTAGCAACCAAGGAATCCTGCCCACTGCTTATCAAAGCACTTTTGGGGCTCGCTGTAAAACGAAGGCTGGGTTTGCACAAGCATACAGGGAGATATAAGGCAAAAGTGTGAATAACTGTGTCCACTGTGATGGGGTCAAATAAAAACTCTGGGTTCTCTGTCAGATGTTTTCTTATTAGGGATTACTTCTGCCTCTGGAAAACACCATTCATTTGAAAATGCAGCACTGTTTTAACATGGTTTCAGGTGGATTGAAAATGTTTTAGGCAGATCTGTAGATTTATTTAGTATGTCTGTTATATTGATTTATGTAAAGATATGTATTGTGCAGATTCGAAATAAATAAATTGACATTGAATGAGTGGTTTGGACTTCAGTTGCAGTGAGACTAGACCCAGACTGAGACTTTGTTTCTTGAGTGGTAGAAGCCGGATTGATGTCCCCTGACCTTAAGGTTTCTGTCTCTAATATACTCTAAAAAATAGCTGATCTATTTTCATTCTTTGCCAGGCACAGATGATGAAAATCAACTCAAAGACAGACTATCGACAATCAATTGCAGGCATTTATCTTGTTCTGCATGTGATTGTGTAGAACAAACCCAGACAAATTGCAGCACGGGGGGAAAACTTACTGCCCAATTTTTTTTTTTCTATCTGGCCCTGTGATTCTTCTGAGCTAATTAAGCCCTTTGTGCTGCCATGTGGTGCTCCATGCTGCGCGGTTTACAGCTACATGGCCCCTCACTCTCTTGAGCAAAAGCAGGTACAAAAATGAGTGACGTGCAAAGATATTTGGTCTGAGAATGCATCATCTCTGTGCGACGGGTGTGAGCAAGAGTAACAAATTAAAAGACGATGAAAATTAAATAAAAATGGGAAGAATCACATTTTGCAGATATGTTTTTCCAAATTAAATCTTTTTCTCTTGTAACCCCAGCACCAGAGCAGTAGAATTATAGTTTTTTATGCAGTTTTGTTTTATTGAACCTCCAGGACAACCATACTGAACACCTTTTGCATTGTGTATACAAGAGTCAACCTGCAGCGTGGTCACATTGCTAACAGCAACATTCGACCCACAGGGAAGTGGGGAGTCACAGCACATAAATGTCTCTGCAGCGTTATTCCTTTTTCCTGTGGGTGGGTCGGAGGCGCCTGCACCCATGGGGAAGCGGGACAGCTCACAATTCAACATGAAACATAACTCATGTCTGGCTGCGCGGGGAGAAAGTTCACCCCATACATACATTTGGGGTCATGTGTGTTACAGTTGTAGCAAGGGTCACACTTGATAATAGCCCAATTGCGATGCAGGGCCAGTGAGGCCTTATCTGTAACTTTTTCTTTTTTGCTCCACAATTCAGCCCAGCTCTGCACGACTCATCCTTCTGCAAACTGTGCACGTTCCATGTTTGTTTTATCTATCAGCATTCAGCTATTTGGGTTTGACACTAGGTTCATGACCACTTCAATTCACCTCCTGGTATCTGATGTTGCGGTCGCTCACACTTCAATAATGCATTCTGAACAGAAGGGGAGATGTGTTTGGGGAAAGAGCACACGTCCCATCTGATTGCAAGGTCTCAACTGATGAATCGCGGCGCTGCGGACATCTCTCTATATCAAAGGCTGTGATTAGTTTGAAAGTCTTTATTGTTAACAAGAAGTCACAGTGGATCACAGCAAGGCACAGACACCAGAGTTAATTCTCTCCTGTTGTTGATGAGATCAGACCCTAATGTAACGTGCCTAAGCCTATTATCCCACAAAGTCTTTGTTTGTAATATTAAGCAAATTTAAGTGAGACTGTCATAGTTGTGAGTAAATCAAAGAAAAGTTTAAAGCCTGAATGATCGAGGTAAGACAAAGATCTGTACTGACAGAACGGCCTGCCTTGCCACGAGCATTCCTCAGCAGCAAAGTTATACCTATAGGACAGGAAGGAGGGAGGGAAAGAAAAATTGAGAGATTGAAATAAATATCTATTTAAAAATAGCCTCTCAGCATGGCGTGGAGAGATTTTAAGATATTATCCTCAAAGGCTGCTGTGAGTGAGGCCCCAAGAAGGGAAAGCTGTCTACGGTGAAATATGAAAGTCACACAGCCCCTGACAGCCTATGGCTTTTCCTGATACTGCCAGCACCAGCCACTGGAGTGATCCATAGTCTCTTTGTGGAGACTTGTGATATAACTGCTGAGGGCGAGATGTAGAAGATCCTCTGCTCACTGCACTGCTCCCTCTCTCAGCCTTCGCCACTACCTCGTCGCCACATGGGGGGAATTTGTTATGTTCTCCTGCGTACGGCTGCCACAGAAATATCAGGATGCCAGACAGGGGGCAAGTTGACTGACTTGTCCTTGTCCCTTTTCAATTTGACAAGCCAAGCAGCCATGGGGACTTTCTAGTCTATTTTCAAATTGACCATTTATAATCAGTTTCCTAGAGGAGAAAGAAGGGCTGGAGGAGTGGCACTGGCCTGTGTTGTTGCAGATGCGCAGGGGGTTGGGACATGATAATACAGCAGCGTGTTGTCAGATGTCAGCAGGTACGATGAATGAAGAACACGGAGAGGTTGCATAAAAGGAAATGCACTGTGGGTAGTGACCTCTACTGAGGAGAAAAAAAGTCGGGAATTGGCCAAAACTGTCCTGAAGCTAATAAACATGTGCTGGCCTTCTGTGAAATATGCATTACCTCTGTGTGAACCTGAAATAAGCAGTCGTACCCGTGATGGCAATGCAGATAGAGTGGATAAGGTGCTGTCCAGTTTTGGCATGGATGTGGCTGCATACATCAGCACCTGAAGGTCAGGGCGACTCGGGTGTGGCTCGCCTCTGAGGTGTCACAGTGCTCCGTCACAGCTCGCTCCAGCGCCACTACTCCACTGACATTTCCACAAGATGGCTCCTCTGAATTATACGGCCCAGCAGAAGGGTAAGAAGGGAATGGGAAGGGGGAAAAAAGCTCATTTTCTGGATGTCTGCTCCTGACCTGAAAGCGCCACTTGTTTTCATCAGTGCATTTGCCGCTTATGCAAAAATGTACGCTGAGTAATAGGGGAACAATCACGCCGGCCTGCTGCTCCTGTTCTCTGTCCCCATGTCTCTCTGAGGTGGAACGACACAGTGTCACCTCTACACTGGCCCCATCCTCCGTAAATTAATCCCAATTTGGCCATCAAGTGCGGGCCGTCGAAAGGGGCAGCCGGTAGGTAATTGACATTCTCAGGTGTGTGAGTTTTGTTTATGTAGCCACGCTGAGCCAAAGCGTTGGAGTGGACGGCAGTGGAGCAGGTTTGCATACGCCGCATGGTTCGGGGGCGCTGCATGAGTGACTGCTCAGCAGCGCGTGGCCCCGTGGCATTTCAGCAGAGGACATTTCACTAAAGATTGCCTCAGGTGTCAAGCGCTTTGGAAAGGTGCACGCGGCAGCTTGAGGTCGTTTGTCCCATGAATTGATTCCACAGTGACCCCATCGGTCTCTCTAACTATTGATCTTTCCCCCAAGACCCCCATACAATGCCCATGCCACACTCGGGAATAAGAGCGCAGGAGTCAATGTGTCCCGACCCTTAAACAAAACAATGGCCGCATTTCAATAGGACATCACACATCACTGTATGAAAAAAAACATCGCCCAATGGCCACTTGCCTCTGAGGTCACTCCCACATTCAGTCCATTTTGGTTATTGGGATTCAATGAATAAGAGGAGTGGGGAGTTTATAAGCCTTAGAGCCTTCTGGGAAAAGGAGTGACCGTAAGTCATTATTGGAGGGAACCATGTGTGTGTTGGTGTTCATACATGGAATACCCTTTCCTAAATGCTTTCCTCGGCAGATCTCCCATGCCTTTTAGCATGTCACCCAAGGCCATGAATCACCATTACAGCACGTCCAGTTTTACCTGGGCACCTCTAAGGCTTTTTCATTAGACTAAAAGGCACCCCAGGCAGGCATCAACATGGGTGACACAGAGGGGGGTGCCTGACTATGTGTATGTGAAAGTTATGGTCACAGATTCGGGTTGGGTGGGTTAATTACAATAACAACAACGCAGGCCAAAAAAACAAGCCACAATGGCAAGGCTGCACGGCTCTCATTTGTTTCAATAAGCTAAATTGATTCCTATGTCCTCTGGTGCCATTTGCATTGCATCTATTTAGCGTGCGCCTCATCCCACTACATTCCGAGTCTCCGACACTCTTCCTCCCCTGCCATTCACTTCACGTGCAGAGGGCAAGACAACATCGATGCGGACGCATTGATCTTCCTGGACAGACGGGCATCAACACACGTACACCTTTACGGTGCATCTATTCATATCAATTATGAATAGATGGCCAATTATGAATATTTATGTGCAGACATACACATGTTTTGAGGATGAAGATGTTGAAGGGGGAAATCAAATAAATGTGTGAACAAAATCCAGACTTATATGAATACCAACATTTGTCCAACAGCTTGGAATATTCTCTACCAGGCTGTCACTTTCATCACATATTTTAACACTCATTTGAAGCAAAAAAGCCTTGAAACACTTCCAAATTAATCAAGTACTGCAACAACAATGTCTCCACAATACAATTACAACCATTTGGAGTTACACACAATTAAAGTGTCACCAATCTGTGCCAATAGCACACAGCACACTGAAGGAACCCTATAACTTTATTTACACTGCGAGAGAAGTCATTCAGAACCAGGGGAGAGCAGGCACGACAGGAGGATGGCAGACTACCGGCCTTCATCTCCCAGAACTGAATAGTACAGGAAAAATAGCATTTTGCAAGTATTGTAGCATATTTTACATTAGAAATCACACTTGGGAAAATTGGTTTAATTTCCAACAATACAAAAGATGTGCCAATAAGGTAAAACGACCCCAGTCGGTTTAATGTTCCCTTTACCCACTATAAATGTATCCATAGATACTGTAACAATATACAAACTTGTTGTTGCTCCCTCTTGCCTATAGTCAAATCAATATCCAAACAAACTAGTCATGTTAGGTTATAATACATTTCATGTCAACTTTCAACAAGGAGAGATAATCATGTTTTTAATTTGATGTGTGTGAAGCTCATTTGCACATTCAATTTAATTTAAAAAAGAAACTTGTGATACAAACAATTTTACTTTTCATGCACACTTCCAGTTTGTTAAGTTCCTTTGTGATAAATGAGCAAAAAAGCTATTTCTGGTGTTGCCTGCCATATAGCGACACATTATAAATTAATCAAAATTAAACCTATTAACCATAGCGTGTTGTTCTGGGCACATGGTACAATGTGTTCCTTTTTTGAGCCCAAAATCATGTATTTTATTTGTTGAAATAAAAGTAATATTCTAGGGCCAACCCGTTAAGGATGATATGCACTGGTTGGAGGTGATCAAACTGTGACCACCTGAGGTGAGCTTCTGCTCTCCACCTGCCATCCTTGGACCCCCCTTACGTCAACAAAAACTGGCGCTAACAGCCCCTCACCCTTCGACATTTGTTCTGCCGTCATCAGTCACCGTCTGGGAAGATAGCCGCCGCCATCAGAGAGATGACTGAAGACTGCTCAGAGCGCCTGCATCACGATCGGCCTGTAGGCTGAGATAGAGCCACTGAGAAAGAGTTTATTCTTATTTATTTTTATCTAAAAAAAATTGCATATGTGATACAGTGATTTCGATTAGCACAGAATGGCAGCCTTGTTTCTTTCATCCCAGGGCAGCTGCGGCTACAATAGTGTAAATTGATTATGACAACAGAGAGCTTAAATAAACTGCTACAAAAAAGTACATTTTATAGACAATAAACACATGGATAAGCAAACAATAACAATAAAATAAACAAAAACAATGGCAACATTTTTAAGATTTGTTTAAAAGATTGTTAAACAACAGACAGACATAAATCTTATTCCACTTACCCCAAAATTAAATTCTTGAGAGAAGGAAGAAAACAACTGGAGTGAAGCCTTTAGCTTATAAAATAATGGAATTGTTTTGTTTTTTTATTAACCCCTTATATTAGATACTGCTGTGCCAGTTACGGTTTAATTCAAACTTCGAGGGAGAATTGTCTTGTCTTCTTTAAAACATTTTTGCAAGACATAGCAACTTTTTACACACATTCAACCCATTTCAAATAATATTTGTGTACCTTTTTGCAGGATATCTGTCTTCCACCACAGCCTCAGCCTAATGCATTCACACATTTAACTTGCCTGCTTCACAATTAGCTGCGTGTGTGTATATGTGCACTAAAGACATGACATAGTGTTGCTTACATATTACTAAACACAGACATCACTATTGGTCTAAGCCAGCGTAATTACTGCACTGCACTGTCACTATGTTTAATGAGAAGACCCGGAACAGCTAAAATGCAGAGTGGTAAAACCGGGGGACTATATATCCATATGTCACCGGCATTAAAGCTTATTAAAATAAAAGCAACCAGCTGACATGATGACTTTATTGTATATGTCTCGTCTGACAGCTCTGCGGGGTCAGCGAAATATGTTCCTCACAACTTCCCTCAACACAAGAACGCACTCAGGGGGGGATCTTCTGCAGCTGAAGCAAAAAAAGGGACAAGAGAAAATATGAATGAAGAGAAAACGCACAGCAACAAACTTCAGCAAGTTGATCATCTCCAAAGGAAATCATTATTCTAAAGAGGATAACTGTGATTATTTTTACAAAATACTCTTGCATGATATTTTTTTAACCTTAAAACCTTTCAAATACAAGATTTTTTGCTTTTCCTTTGTTTTTAACTATAGCCGGTATCTCGAGTTTCTCCAGCTGTTTGAAGAGAGAAAAGCCCACTTTTCCAATCGACAAATTATCCTTCCAGGACCATAGTGTAAACTGAGTTCCAAATGAAGCGAAGACAGAGACAGGTTTGGATTCACCATCAAAAAAACATAATATTTACAACAACAACAAAAAAGGTTAAGCCAGTGGGAAGAGGAGGCAGCGAGCCGGCTGGCAGGCTGGAAATACAGAAAAAAACTGCAAAAAAATATACAAGAAGGCAAGTTGAGAAAAGAAATTCATGATCTGACCCAAGTGCACAACTTGTGACATGGGAGAAGTAGAGTCTGAATGCCTCAGAGCAGCAGATGAGACAGCCACACCCATTTTCACACACTTGCACTGAAAAACAGAAAGGGAGGGGGGAGGCAGAGCACAAAAAATACAGGATATATATATATATATATAAATATCCTGTATTTGGTTTCTTCAGAAAAGGAGAAGGCCCGCCTAAAAAGAGCCCAGAGGGTGCAATGGCTCGTACTGAACCTGTGTGTGTTTCCCCGCACCACCCGAAATACGTCACAGTACGAATGCATAGTACGTGTTCTTTAACTACTAACTTTTTCATTCCCATCATTTATAAAAACTCATCTCCTAATGCACTGCAACCAGGTCTCCATTTTGACTCACAACATGGACTATATCAGAACTGATCAGAACTCATTGGAATGACAGTATCAGGTCTCCCAAACAAAATTCTCTCTCTAAAACCCAAAGAGCAGGTTATGGGCCAAGATCTTAAGCCTTGCAGGTTTACACAAGCAGCATTGGTAACTCACACAAACACACCGCCGCTCTATTCGCTGTGGCACAAGATTTATAACAATAAAAGTCTCTCTCCCCCAAAAGGCAGTGAAACGCACCAACTGTTCCGCGTGCAGCCTTGAACTCTGGCTGATCTGCCATTTGTTACCTCGAGCACTTGGCAAAACAAAAGCAGCCCTGAACCACTTGAAAAAGGGCTTATTGCTCGTGCTGCTCACAAGTTTAGCACTAAAGAGAATCATCATAGACTGAAATGTCTTGATCCAATTACAAGTTCAAGTAGCAGCGTTTAAATGGCTCGCAGGTGGATGTCAAACTACTTCAACCATGCGACCCAAGTAGGGCAGTGGGTGGAGGGAGGGCGAGTGACTAAAAACAAAAAATGGGTGTAGATCAGTGGAAAAGAACAGTGAATGTTTTCAACAGAAATCTAATGGCTCTATTAACCAGGCATGTCCAGGGCTAAGCGCAGCCCTCAGGCTTCTTGATGAAATGAAGTACTTTTCAAGGCAATCTATTAAAATATATATGAAAATACATGATTTACGTTGAGGTTATGAGGCTAAATGTACTGATTTAACTTGTAAATGCATTGATTTTAACATCAGGCTGCATCTCTTTTAAGAAATTAATAATGAAAAGGTAAATAACAGAAGGCATATGATGTGCGTATTTTTTTATACTTGCAGTTCTTAGTTCAGCTTCTATAAACTTATCATATTTTGTTGTTAAATTTGTCAGTGTTTTA